CACAGAGAGAGAGAGAGAGAGAGAGAGAGAGAGAGAGAGAGAGAGAGAGAGAGAGAGAGAGAGAAATGAAGAAGAAGGGAGAAAAGAGGACACCGAAGTAGAGAGAGAGAGAGAGAGAGAGAGAGAGAGAGAGAGAAATGAAGAAGAAGGGAGAAAAGAGGACACCGAAGTAGCACAACAAAGTGCTTCAATAAAAAATTGTCATACAAGAAGCATCTCGGCGACTCCTCCCTACTCCACCCGGAGCTCGGAGCCCCCTTGCCCCAAAGAAGTTCCGTTCCTCATGCAATCTTCTTCTTCTTCTTCTTCTTCTTCTTCTTTTAATATTTTTGTATTGAACTCCTCCCCCCCCTAGCAAGGAGGGCATCACCCGCCTGTTTTTTTTCTTTCCAGTCCAGGGTGTTGTAGAGGCCAGATTCTAGGCCCACGGTGATTAACAGGAGCGGTCAGCCATGGCTTTCCTTAGAAGACGAGGCCACCTCGCATCCCGTCCTCGCGTCAATACTCCTCGCGCACCCCCTATCGCTACTATCCTACCCGGAAGGAAAACACAGTAGCTCCCCACCAATCCCCAGTGGTCAATTCTTGAAACAAAGAAAACTACGAAAAGAAAGTTTAAGAAAGTTTAAGAAACCCAATTGTCACAAACAGTTACGGGAGGGCCCATCTATTCTATCTATCGTATCGCCAACAATGGCAGGGGCAACAGGGGAAACAGAACTCAGCTGATTCTCATCTTTGTATTCGGTATCAGTAAGGTCTTCAGCCAACACGGGTGTGAGTGCGCGTGCGAGTGGGTTGCGTGTGGTGTGTGGGAGAGTGTTGGCTTTAGACACTACGCTTACTCGATGGGGGTGGGGGAAGATGAAAAGGGAGGCACAGTTACTTTACTGGCAAATGCTCGGTCCTTGTGTTAGCCGGGCCCCCATCGGCGGCCCCAACCCTGCACCCTGTACACTAGGTAGGGCAAAGGGGCAAACATGCTGTTCCCTCTCTCCATCGAGAGCGAGAGAGGTAACCTCCCTTCACCAAAGAGAGGTAGAAAACTATGCTTGCAGGGGTCCCCATGTATAGCCTTAGGAGTAGTGGTAGGTAGGTAGTGAAAGAAAGATATGTTCCATGACATGGCAGAACACCAGTTAAAAAAAAATGTGAGGTGAGAGAAAAATATATGGCTGTCCGCCGATGAGGAGAAGGCACTTCAAGGCAGCTTTTAAAAAAAAAAAAAAAAAAAAAAAAAAAGGTTGTAAAAGTGATTTACTCAATTTTGAATTTTCTTTTTATTTTATTTTTTCCTAAAACGGGAATTATAATGTTTAATTTTTTTATTTTTTTATTTTTTTTACATAAAATCCTACTTCTTTTCAGGTGGATAGACTGGACTTCAGGAAATATGTGAGGCAACCAGCACTAGCAAGGGTATGTTGATGAGCTCAGCACAAGAAACAACCTTTCCTTTCCTGAAGTTTCTTTTTTTTTTTGTTTTTTAATCCTAATCTTCTCTGTATCGTTCCAATTTTTTATTTTTTTTATTTTTTTTTTTCTTTGTTTTTGTTTTCGTTTTTGTTTTTTGGTCCTCCTAGCCTTTGCTCTTTTTTTTTGTGGGAGGGGAACACACACAAAAACAAAGCATTCCCAGGTGGGCCAGGACCCACTAGCGAAGTATTCTACGATGTGTGACGCAATTTTATGGTTTTTTGGAAAATACAAAGTGATTTTTTATTTGCATGAATGGATCCTTTTCTGATTTAAAATGAATTGAAATAGCACATAAAAGTATGAAGAACAGCTGTGCACCCGAATTCATGGGTTGGTACGATCTCCTTCACGTAAGTCTTCATAGTGATGTACCGTGGCAATAAAATGTGTCCACGAACACAGCCACRAGGATGAACAMGTAATGSYTATAGGGATACATTCATCCCCATGTATCTCATGATGCCTCTAACAGGCCATCCGACAGACGCGGAAGCATTCCTGTCAGATCCACCACGATATCTGAATTTCACATTTCAAGTTCTATTTCTCAGAGCCAAAAAAAAAAAAAAACGGAGTCTGGAAATCAACCCCCCCCCTTTAGAGCCCATAAAATCCAGACTTACCGCCCACGCAAAGCCACGAGCTATCATGTCCAAGTTAGTCCAACTTTGTTTGTTTGTTTTTTTTCGACGCATCTGATTGGACGGGAGGTGGGCATCTTTACAGTCCCCGCTCGGAAACTACCAGGCCGTCGAGATCCGATCTATTCGACAGCCGCACTGTGTCACTCGAGGCCACACGTGATCGAAATCCTGAACGAAGTGGTAGATTACTTCGCTAATGGGTCCAGGCCCCAGGGGGCAGGGCTTTCTTTTTGGGGGGGGGGATTTTTGGAAAAAATACAATTTGCAAATACGTGATAATTGAATGGAATTCCGACTCGTGCAGTTAGACCACCAGTCCAAAAAAAACAAAAAGAAAAAAAGACCACCAGTCCATCGGGACCCGTTTTGCCGAACCCAAATTTGGAATTTCCCGAGCCTCAAACAGACCGGTACCGGCAATTGGAAAAAGACAAACATGGTACGTGTCCCTGTCTGTAGGCCTCTCTCCAGTACACAACACTCTACATGCATTTGGACGCTTTCTGGACCAGGTACATTTAAAATGTTTGACTCATTCCAATGCAACTGGTCCAGAAAGTGTCCGAGTGCCTGTGGAGTGCTGTTTAGTGGAGCACGTCCCTGTGTCCCTTCGTTGCTTCTGGACCTGAGTTACAAGATAAAGACCATGAACGTGGAATTTTTTTCTGTTTGGCACAGCTTGGGTGGGCGCTCCTTTTTTTTTTTTTTTTTTGGTTGGGGGGGCCCAGAGGGCAGCTCCTTTTTACATGTGCTGCCTGCCCACAACTTGAACCTGGTAGCTGCACTGCAGACTTTCCACCAAGCCTGTACTGGGCCTGGGCACTGTAGATTGGGCCCGGTACTCCTCAAAGAGTAAAACCTGCAGTGCTGGGGCCGTTGGACTGGTGGTTTACAGCCCCACCACACACTGCATGACAGCACGGACTGCTACATATCCTCCTCGTTCCACGATAAAACAGTTCTGTTTCTAAAAAGATTTGTCCGTCCGTAATGGAGATTACATTGGCTCTGTCCGAATGTAAGCACATACATCTCCAGGAAAAAAAGAAAAAAAAAAAGGCAAAGATGCCAAAGAAGAAAAAAAGGAAAAGAAAACAACAAAGGGGGGGAAACGAAGAAAAGGAAAACAATAAAATAAAACTTTTTAAAACCAACAATAGCAACAACAACAACAACCACCCTCCCTTTTTTTCCCTTGGACTCCCTCAACAGACCCCTCCCTTCCACCTCTCGATATTCCCTGGCGCACCCCCCCCCCTTCTCTCCATCCTACCTTACATGAGGACTATCACTCTCTACCGGCGCAACGTGGCCGGACAGCGGACGTAGGCACTGCGCTGAACAAGAACCCCCTTCCAGTCCTGGTGAAGGCAGTGTCGCACGAGCCTCCTCGTACGGGTACCTCAGGAGCTAGGCATGAATCTGTTACTACCAACCGCCAGAGTATCCATCTTGAACGGGGTGCCCGGTGTCGGGGAAAAACCCTGACAAGGGTATTTGCCGGGGTTTTTAAACGTCGGACGCAGTCCGACTCTTTCGTTGAATTGAAGGACTTGATGAGACTGACGTTTGTCAAAACCATCACTCTTGGGGCGAGGTCCCATTAAAACAGAGGATTAGATTTAACACCCGAATCTAGACTCGTTTGAGGACAGGGAAAGAAAATTGTGATTGATTAGCTTTCTGCATCTTCGTTAAGAACCTATCCAGATTCATATTCCTAGTTCAATCCACTTTGCTGGTGGGACCTAGCCCCTGAGCTGTGCAAGATTCCTCATACCTGCTTCTGCTCATACTGATACTAGCAGTCCGGACTGGTAAATCCTACCGTTGAGCATCAGTCCTCAAAGAGGGCTGCACTGGCAACTTTTATTAGAGACGTCAAGTTGTCCTTGTTATAAATCCAAAGTGTGTGCCCTGGTTCCCAGTACCTGGGACCGGTTAGAAACTTCTAGTGTGTACCACTGAGCCCTGGTTCCCAATACCTGGGACCGGCTCGAAACTTCTAGTGTGTACCACTGAGCCTTGATTTCTAGTACCTGGGACCAGTTAGAAACTTCTAGTTTGTACCACTGATCCCTGGCTCCCAGTACCTTGGACCAGTTAGAACCTTTGAGTGTGTACCACTGAATTCTAGGTCCTATGTCTACCTGATTGCTTGACCGACAACAGTTCGACCCCTGGTAATCCCACGTTAAAATCACATGAGGTCGAGGACGCAAAAAAAGCACTAATTGTAACCACCAACTTTTGGGAGGGTACCCGAGCTCGTTCGGAAAGTAGCCAAAAAAAGGGTCAGTGTTCGAGTCTCCCGACTCCTACGACTGCCGAATATTAGTCGATATGCGCTTGGCGAAAGTTCATTGCCGACAGCGCTCAAGATCGGACCCTCGAAGACTGATGTCCATAGCACAACACATCTTATTATCCCTCAAAGCACAGGCAAAGTATCCACCTAGAACCCTGTCCAAACATCTCAAAATCCGATAACAGAAACAACACAAATGAGTGTAGCTACAAAGTAAAGAAAAAACATATTATGAAAGAATCGAAAAATCATACAAGTTCAAAACGAAAAGCCATTCTACTAAAGTCACTTGAAACACATCATACAAAACCATCACGATCGAAAAGGTCAACTGCATCAAAAACACAGAAAAGCAGGCCAGCAGATTGTGAGTCGTAGACTCCCAGCGGGGTCTTACCATCGCATAAGGAGTTCGACTGCCTGTTCCTAGCTTGTTCCCCGATTCCTTGCAAATCTATTGAGGATTCTAATGAAGAACTCCTCCTCGAAGCCTTTCAGCCTTTGTTCTTTTTTCAGCGTCAATACCCACATAGGATTAACTGATGTAATGGTCGTATTTTCGTTTATACGATGAAGGTAACTAACTGCCCACGATAGAACTTTTATGTTTCTTCGACCCCTACCAGTTGAAAGTCTGACCATTTTGGATTGCGACTTTGTCGTTACTTTAGAAACTCGTGAATATTGTCAAGGAGGGGTGGGTATTGCGCCACTCTGATCTCACAACCTGGGAACTCCAATACTCCATCTCCTGTACCAGTGCGTTTGAGTATCAAATTTTTCAGCTAACATGATTCAAATCATTGCATGATTTCCACCTTGATGGTCTTGGACATAGTTGCTAGAACTAGGTGTCACATCATCCATGAGTCAGAGCCCGAATACTCGTTTCCGCCATTTGCCCAAGCTCTGCATGAAATTGAATTTCACGTAGGCACACAAATTGCATGACAAGGGAGGGCTCTTGCTCTTCCCCATCGGGATTCCCACATCAGGTTTAGGGTTTAGCCTCAACAACACTCCAGTCACAGATGTGTAAGTGTGTCGGACTTCAAGTTCAACAAAGCACCTCACCCTGTCAAGGTTCTATGCACTTCCAGCGATCGCTTCCCATTGTTAACCCGAATGTGTTTCCCTTCCCTCTCGTGTTGACTCTCACAAAGGGCTTCCCCTTCTTCATGTGGAAATCTACAATCCAGTCTAAGGTTATATGAATCTCATCATGCAGCAGTCTGCTGAACATTTTTTTGATGTCATAAGACCTCTCATGAACTTCACTAGCACTCCCTGTCTCCGGCAGTCTTTTATTGATATGTTTCAGGCGCTCAGCCACATACTCTAGAAGGTGGTTATGCGCCTTGGCTACCAGCTTCCCAGTCTTGACCATGGGTTCGTTGAAGGTTGGGCAGATTGGGCGATATTTGTCAAAGTCTTTGTGTTTTGGTAGCACACAGGTTTTGCCAAATTCGCCCTTCTTGTCCCACTTCACAAAACTCTTCAAACCTGATCTATCGACATTCTCTCTTATCTCTCAAAGGATGGCCCCCTTCGTGTCACCCATTACTCGATGGCCAGGATTTCTTACAAAGGTCTTTATCATGGCTTGGCAGTATACTATTGAGCACATCGCCACGGTCTCTATGGGATTTATGTTCAATGGAGTTAAAACCAATCCTTCGAGTTCCTTCTTAACGTCGTGTACTTAATTGACACTCAGTTTGTCCACATTCACTTTCGGACTAGTGATACATACAACAAGCCTCTTTGTACTAACCTCAAGCATATTGCCTCTAAACTTAAACCAGTCGACGAAGCAGTTGTTTATCTTTTGCGTCGGCATGAACACATGGTCTGTTACTGCAACCCTAGGTACGTCCTTGACGTTTGCTTTCAGTAAATGAGAATCGCCTTCAGTAAATGAGAATCGCATGTGCCCTTCCACCCGAGGGGTAGGACTGACCCGCACACTCGCAGGTCATCACCTTCTGAGCCGCAAAGGCTTGTTGGTTGTGCGACAAGTCGCCTATCGTTAGATTCTTGGTTTGAACGATAGGGATCTTTTTCGTGCTCAACTCCTAAAACACTAAAGTAGGTCACAGGTCGGTATGCAATCATTGACTACCTTACACGGTTCCACCAATCTAATCGTATTGTCATCCTTAGTCTTGATAACTAGATCTGCAAACAAACTGGGGCCAAATCGTTACCTTACCACTTGGAGATGAGGCGACTAAGGTACTTTCTTGTCGACTTTTTACTAAAATCATGGATCGTATTGTATAATTGTAGGATCGATCTCAGATTTCAATTGTAGATGCCTCCCAAACTCTTAGGGTTTCGT